GGCCAAAGATGTCGATCGGTTCGACCTAAAACCATATTGGCAATCAGAGAGGATTTTATGTCTATCAATAAATGTGTCTAATCTGTTATTAAAGAGTTTTTCCAGAATTTTTGAAAATTGTGACAACAGAGAAACCGGTCTATAATTTGTGAAGTTGTGCTTATCACCAGATTTATACAGTGGAATAACCTTTGCTATTTTCATATTATTGGGGAACTGCCCAAGTCGAAACGACATGTTAAAAATATGGGTTAATGGTTTGCATATCCCCTCAATTACCCATTTAACAGTTGTCATAGTGATACCATCACTATCACTAGATGTTTTGTTACCACATTTATTCACTATCTCTATAATTTCCTTTTCAACTATGGGCTTCAAGAACATAGAACTCACGTTCCTTTCAATTGTATTATTATTTATAGTGACGGATGTATCATCTGTACAAATGCTTCTTGCTAAACCAGGACCAACATTCACAAAGAACCTATTAAACTTATCAACTACATCCTCCAATCTATTAACCGGTGTATCATTATCCATAAAATATTGAGGGTAGTTACTCTTGCTGGAACTGTTTTTAATCAATTTATTTAATATATTCCAAGTACCTCTCATACATAGAACTAAGTTGGAGGACACTTTCGGCAGCTTCAGCGGTCAGAAACCAGGCCCTTTGTCCGTGGATGCCACTGGTCAGCAGCTGTTGCACACACACACACACACTGGCGCGCAGGTAAAGCAGTTACCTGTGTGTCTGGGCTGCAGAGCTGATGAGATTACATAAGAAGTAGAAAGAGTAGCTGTGTGCTGTGCTCTGCTCCAGCTGCCCTATCTCTTTAAATAAAAAAGAGCTGTTGTGCGTGTGCGCGCGCGTGTGTGGAGGAGAAATTACGAGACCGAGAGGGCCACTCGGCTGTGGAGGAGGACTTGGCTAATGAAAACACAACAGAGACGCTCATTCGATTAGATTTTACCGGTTTTGACGGCTGTGTACTGTTTCCCTGTACGTACGGCTGATGCTGATTTGGGACCCGGTGCTCTTCTTGTATCTATGGGCTCGGTAGGCGCATCTCTCGCCTCCCGCTAGGACATAACGGGCTGGGCAGCCGCCTAATAAATAATAATTATTTATTTCTCGCTCTCTGCGCCGCAACGTTGGGTGAAACCTGATCGAGAGACAGCATCAATAACAGCGTGCTGATCATGGATTAATAACCGAGTGCATTTTCATCTGAGAGGTAAGGGATGCTGCGGGAAAAGGCCGGATGACCACGATGTGTCTATGGGTGCAGTGTGTCTGTAGCCTGTATGTGCCATGGATGACGGGGTGTTGGGTTATGCAGCATCAACACTGCGGCTCCTCCGCTCGTACAACGCGGAGGAGACTGCAGAGAGTTCGGCCGATGTGGGTGAATGGCGCTTGTTGTCTCTTTGTGTGTACGGTGAGGCCTTTGGGAAACGGAGCTGATCAGCCGCATCGAGCTGCTGTATTATTAACAAACACAATGACGTCAGCGTCTGTGACGCAACCTCCTTCATGCACATTTTTGCAGCATTAGTTTTTGTCATTAAAAAAAGGAATGTTTTTTGTTTTGCAGTGGGTGTCCTGTTCCACCCCTGATGCTCTGTCAGCTCTTTTTTTGGTCTCTGCAGACTCCATGACGGGTTTCTCTATATGCACAGGCACGCACACCATCACCACTACCACCACCACATAAGTAGCTTTAATGTTGTAAAAATCACCTCACCCACTGGTGAAGCCCAAACTAAATTAACCGTGATTACATCACTATGACGTCACGAGCGGTTCTTTTCTGAGACTTGACAAAGTTCCTCTGTGACGAGGTCAGTTCAAGATGGTGACTGTAGTTTATAGCTAGTGACCTCCATAACTATGAGTTGTACTAATTAACCAAGTACAACCAAGTATAATTATTATTATCATGGATATGTTTATGTTATGAGATTTAAAAAAGGCTGTGAGAATGGCAAACTAGCACAACTTTGGTCAAAATTAAATTTACTGTAGTGAATAAATGTAAAATGCTACACAGCTTACATGTGCATATCTAGTTAACTAAAATGTTTCTACAAGTTACTGTGGTTTTTGATGGTCCAGTACATTGCTGCATGTTACATAAACCAAGAGCCCAAAACAAAAGAATATGTACAGCAAAGACAACAGCTATTCAGATGAAAATGTTAATGCTGATAGTTTGAAAGTAGTGATTGAGAGTTTCACTAATATGCATGAGTAAGTAAGTAAATTTAAAAAAAAAGTGTGAAAAGGATCCTGGAGAATTGAGGGTGCTGGGCACTACAGTAGGAGATGGAATCTACAGTATATCTGTATTGTATGAAAGAGTCTTCTACAGAGGATGTGAGACCATCAAGTTTCTCGTATTAATCTGGCCTGAGGATAAGGGAGACTTTAATATGGAGCTGGTCCCCCCCTTTGCAGCTATAATAGCTTCCACTCTTCTTGGAAGCCTTTCCACAAGATTCTGGAGTGTTTCTGTGGGAATTTGTGCCCATCCATTCTGTAGAGCATTTATGAGGTCAGGCACTGAGCCCTTGAGCAAGAAGCCCTGGCTCACAATCTCCATTCCAGTGAATCCTAAAGGTGTTCAATGGGGTAGAGGTCGGGGCTCTGTGCAGGCCAGTCAAGTTTTTCCACTCCAAACTCATCCATGTCTTTATGGACCTTGCCTTGTGTACTGGTACACAGTCTTGCTGGAATAGAAAAGGGCCTCCTAAACCTGTTTCCACAAAGTTGGAAGCATAGTGTTGGCTAAAATGTCTTGGTATGCTGAAGCATACATCGCCACAGTCAGTGGCGATGTGCTTTACACCACTCCATCTTGCTTGTCATTGGACTTGGTGATATGAGGCTTGCATGCTGCTGCTCAGCCATGGAAACTCGATTCATGAAGCTCCCGCGCCGCACAGTTTTTGTGCTTACATTAATGCTAGTGGATGTTTGGAACTCTTCAGCTATGGAATCAGCAGAGCATTGGTGATTTCATGTGGTCTTCTGCTTCGTGGCTGAGCTGTTGCTGTTACTAATTGCTTCTGCTTTCCAGTAATACCACCTACAGTTGACTGTGGAATATCCAGCAGGGATGAAATTTCACGAACCGTCTTATTGCAAAGGTGGCATCTTATCACAGTACCACGCTTGAAGTCACAGAGTTCTCCAGAATGGTCTATTTAGTTTCACAAATGTTTGTAAATAAAGTCTGCCTGGCTAGGTGCCTGATTTTATACACCTGTGGCAATGGGTCTGATTGAAACACCTGAATTCAATAACTAAGAGGTGTGTCCCAATACCTTTGTCCATATACCTCCAGATAATTTACCTCTCCAGATAATGGGATGCTAAAAGTAGAAAGTGCATGTTAAAGAGGACCTGATGCACTCTGACAAGCTAAAAAGAAATCAGCTCTGGCCAGTAGAGAAAGTAGTCAGAAAGTAAAGAAAGTGTGCTGCTCATGGAACAGATGCATATTGATAGGAATGAGGTGACTAACACCTTTCAATGGACAGAGGAACTTTCTCTGAGCTCTTACAAAATGTACACTGCATTAAAATTATGTTCTATAATTCTAAAGGGACAGTTTTCATCTTTAGCAGACATTATAATAGAGATAATCTTATTTCAAGGAACATATTTATGCAATCATGTTTTGGATATTTTGGATTTCAATGGGGAGATAAAGTAGATTCTTCTCATGGCACACATTGTGCTGGATTCCTGTGCTCTTAAACAGTGGTGATATATTGGAGCCTGAGGTCTTAGGGAAAAGATGCTGGATTTTCTTGATCTTAAAGATTCAATGTGTCTGTAATGATTATGGACGTAATGGGATACCTCAAACAAAAAAAAAATATGTTTCCCACACTCTCTTTAAAGCTGAGTAATCACTGGGAAAAATGCAAAGCTGCTGTTCTCATCATAGGACAAGTGATGCTCCAGATGACCAAAAGAATCACTGGCCTCAAAGAGCTACCGTATATTATCCTCAGGTTTTGAACCTAATTAATTTTTATGTCAGCAATTTTGGCTTTCAGACACTTGACCAAATCCTGATTTCAAAGATTATACATGCACTGTAAACCATCATTCAGGAATATTGTGGAATCAACAAATATTTTTTCACAATCTTTACATCAGTGTTTCAGCTAAATATTTTTAAGCTAATTTAACAGGAAATGTCTAGATTTTATTTTTAGCCCACATTCAAACATAAACCTAAGTTGCACACAGCTGAAATCTTGCAGCTCGCAATGATGAGCTGATTGAGTGAACTGCTGAGAGTTCACTCCAGTCATGAAATGAAGTTTGTAAAGAATCAAAACTAGCAGATTTCCCACATGCACTGTTGAAGAGTTAAAACTTTCTGGAGTCTCTATATTCTTAGTTACAGGAAAACATTCATGATGGAAACTTGCTGTGACATTAATACATTTTAAGATAAGTCATGGCTGTTTATTTCATAATAATGCACACCACAATGCAAATCATGATGAGATTTAGTATGAACTGAGTCACAGCCCTTGTACATGGGCTGCTGAACTTGATGTCTGTGCACTGACTGGTACCTAGTGGCTCCAACAGGAGCAAATGCATCGTGTTAAATAAAGAAATGTTACTCATCTTGACAGAAAATTAACTGAGACACATTTTACACAACTGTTCACATGTAGTGTGTTAAAAATAATGTTAAAATATTACTGACATATTTAAATAAATTAATTATCAAATTGAACTGAAGACAGAGGTTTACACAACATAGACCATTTCATTAAGATTTGTTAGTTCAATGCATTGTGAATTCTTTCACTTTTAGATGCAGTTTATCCAATGCTATGTTAAAAGTCTCAGTAAAGATCTTCATAAATTAGATGCCAATATGGCTAAAGGTGTTTTTGTTAGGTCCAAGGCCAGAAGAAGAAGGAAAAAATATAAATTTCAAGGGTGTTTATAGATAAGACCTGGGAAAAGAACTAATATGACAGGCCTGCATATACTAGTATTAGCTCTGACCCCTTATAACTTTGTCAATTATCATTTTTTTTGTTTAAAGTGGTAATGGCATGATCATTTCCAGCCATTTAATGTCTAATCTTGGGTACCTCTAGATTAGCTTTTCACTCATCGTAACTCAAAATAGTCTGTAATTATCTCAGAACAATAAAACCAGAGAGCCTCTTCCTAAAAATGAGAGGACTGTTTGTGAATGCGCACACCTCCTGCTGCCAGTGTTGCATCGAAAGTGAGCAGCACAATGAACCGCAGCAGCATTAATTAATTTGAATTTCTCCTTCACAGATAAGTAAACACTGTAAATATGTACTGATGAAAAGACCTTTTAAAAAGGCCTTTTAAAAATATTTAACAAGTGCTTGAAATAATATCTTTAATCAGTATTTAGTAAGTGTAAGAGATTTTTCAATTAAGAAATCTTTATCTTTTGGTAGTTTAAATATTAAAGTTATCGACTTTTTTTCATTGTTACCAAAATCTCCTTTCTATCTATACGTCCTCCAATCTATATGACCCATATGGTCATTTCTCCCTTCCCTCTCATACAACCCATTGGCAGTGTTATAGTACGAGTCCTGAATTTCAAGACTTGTGACTCAACTTGGACTCAGGCTCACACACTGACTACATTTGAATTCACAACACAAAGTCTGACATGGACTTCTTTTTTTTTCTTTTCTTTTTTTGTAATAGCCCATAATAATCTGGCATAAGATATTGATATTAAAACCTGTTCACCCGCACCATGCTGAAATGCAGAACATGTATGTTTAACACTACTGCTGCCAGCCTTTTGTTCCTAACTGTTCCTGATAGGCAGTGTGTTTGAAGCATATCCAATGTTCATAATATTATTTAAAAAATTTTTACACTGTTCATTTTTAAATTGTGTGAGCTTACAAGTGCATTTGTGTGGCTACTGTGTCACACATACTGTACTGAGCTCCATTTAAATTGGTGAGAGCTGTGTCAGTTGTGTTTAATCTAGAACTTGATGACTCAAATAACAAGGACTCGACTCAGACTATTCTTTGGTGACCCAGACTTGAACACTGGGGACTCAAGACTTGGCTCGGGTTTGAGGCTTAGTTTATGGATTTCTTTGAATGGTCATAATCTCCAGGCAGTTGCGCATTCATGTGAGCTTGCCTTGTCATTATTGTAGTTTCTGTTAGCGTCTGCATTATCAAC